GAATGTTGGTTTAAGTGCACACAAAAATGCCTGCTCTCATAAGTGAAAATTGCTTCAGTCAGCTTTAATCGACATTTCACACTAAACCAAATTTCAATCTTTCGAAGGAATAATGGATTTGTTTTTACGTGTGACCAGTTTCGAGATTTTCTTAATCTCGCGGACCGACCCAAGACCAGCCTTATCTGTTGACCACCTAGGCAACCAGTCTGCTTCTGTTGGCAGCCCGTATAGCCAGGTTAATCCGGAACTTGACAGACAAACTGACAAAGTTTCTTCTTCTTGAAACTTTGTTCCTGATATCTGCTGGCAACAGGTTGAAGTCGAGCTTAAGGAATGTTAATATTGTGCTCTCTTATTGTGCCCGTGGATTCACATATTTTCACTGAGTCTATTTAACATTACCTCCCATCCTATTCCTTATCCTCGTATCTGACATAGACAGAGATATAAGCCACAGCACCGTGTCTTCCTTTGCGGATGACATCCGAATTTGCATGACAGTGTCATCCATCGATGACACCGAAAGACTCCAAGCGGACATCAACCAAATCTTTACATGGGCTGCGGAAAACAATGTGAAGTTCAATGAAGAGAAATTTCAGTTATTCCGTTATGGAAAACTCGATAAAATTAAAAGTGTATCGGAGTATACAGCAAATTCCAGTCACCACAATAGAGCGATAAACTAATGTAGTAGATGTGTATCTACCACATCTACTAGGAAAATGATAGGATGGATAATAAGAACTTTCAGAACTAAGAATGCCAAGCCCATGAGGATTCTCTTCAAATCGCTTGTTCTCTCTAGGCCGGAATATTGCTGCACACTAACGGCCCCTTTCAAAGCAGGCAAAATTGCAGACCTGGAGAATGTATAGAGAACTTTCACGTCACGTATAAATACTATAAAGCTCCTAAATTGCTGAGAAAGGTTGAAGTCCCTTGATTTGTACTCCCTGGAACGCAGGCGAGAAAGATACACGATAATATACACTTGGAAAATCCTAGAGGGACTAGTCCCAAATTTGCACACGAAAATCACTCCCTACGAAAGCAAAAGACTCGGAAGGAGATGCAACATTCCCCCAGTGAAAAACAGGGGCGCCACGAGTACACTAAGAGACAACACAATAAGTGTCAGGGGCCAAGACTATTCAGTTGCTCCCATCATACATAAGGGTCATCACCAATAGATCTCTGGCTGTCTTCAAGAAGGCGCTGGACAGGCACCTAAAGTCAGTACCTGACCATCCGGGTTGTGGTTCAGACATCGGTTTGCGTGCGGCCAATAGTAACAGCCTGGTTGATCGGGCCCTGGTCCACCACGAGGCTTGATCACAGACCGGGCCGCGGGGGCGTTGACCCCCGAAACCCTCTCCAGGTATACTCCAGGTATAGCTTTTACTCCAGCATTTTGCTATGGTAGTGTGTAGATATCGTCTATGTATATATTATCAAGTATCTCTCACTTTCACTCCAGAGAGTACGTTCTCAGTCCACACCCCCGGCGGGATTGAACCCGCGGTCATAGAGTCTCAAAACTTCTTGAGTCGAGTTACGTTCTCAGTTCTCCGAGCGTTCACAGTAGTTTAAATGCTTTGGCAGTAAACTTAAATATAAGCATTTTTTCTAGCCCTGATATTTCTTCTGCCTTGAACTGAGCAGTATCCTGAGTGTGAGCAGTTTGAATAGTGCCACTTACTGCTAGACAAATCTAGCCCCAAACCAACTGCACCAGGGATGACTAAGCAACACGGCGTATTATTGTTATTACATTCATGAGGAGCACTAAATACATATATAATCCTCAGTTCATAAATATATACTGAAAATCTACAGGTGTATATACTGTGTGCCCACCCAAGTACCAATGCAAGTGACCTTGCCTGTAATCATTGCCCCTTGTTTACTGCTTGGCTATACCTCTCTGCTGAAGTAATTTGTTTATACCTAGTTGTATTATTATATTCATAGCCCATATGTCATACAGCGCTTGGGGAATGAGGTAAACAAGTTTGATCTCAGTTGTATAATGTTATGGTTCATCTGTGTTGCTGGTACTTACTGTCAAGTGTTAAAGAATGTCTTGTGTTGCCCTAACTGCATCCGAGGGTTAAGGGGCTCTTAAGGAGTTGTTTGAAGACAAGGAACAGTCATCTGAAGACAAGAAACAATCTGAGAACAAGGAGCAGTCACCTGAGGGAAAAAAGAACAGCCGAGGGCAAGGAACAGTCCCTTAGAGACAAGGAAGAGTCATCTAAGGACATTGAATAGCTGTCCGAGGAAAACGAGCAGCCGCCAGAGGACAAGTAACAGTTTCCTGAGGACAAGGAACAGTTACTTGAAGACAAGGCACAGTCGCTTAAAGACAAGATACAGTCGTCTGAGTATAAGGAACAATCAATTAAGTCACTGAACTTTTCTTTCGGCAATAAAGACACCTAAGTGTTGCACATGTGTCACTTGTGTCTTATTCATCAACTTGTCGGTATTGTGTGCCCTCAGTAATATATAATGAACAACCACCTGAGGACATGGAATAGTCTCCAGAAGACAAGGAACAGTCGCGTGAAGATCGCAAGAAACGGAACTTCTACTGAGGACAAGGATGGGCATGAACAAAGTGAGATTTAGTGTGATGGTGCGTCAAAAGCCTCAGTGCCCGGTCATCGTTTATTGTCTGATAATTTGATGATTGAAAGCTTCCACTCCCCCTCTCTCCCTACCTACCTCACTCTCCATCTATCTGTTTCTCTCTATCTCCCTCCACGACCTATTTCTATCTGAATTCACCTAGTCGTGTCTGCGGGAGCCTTTGTTCAGCGATTATCTGGCGCTGCTTACCACCGGTTCTTATTTTTGTCATCTCTGCCATAGATTCCATGTATGCAGCATTGAGTACACTCAGTAAGTGTTAAGAGGCCAAGACTTTTCAACGTCCTCCCCACATACCTAAAGGGGATCACCAACGAATCCCTGGCTGTCTTCAAGAAAGAACTGGACAAATTTTTCAAGGCAGCGCCTGATCAGCCGGGCTGTGGTGTTTATATTGGACTTCGTGCGGCTAGCACCAACAGCCTGGTTGATTAGGCTATCCACCAGGAGGCCTGGTCTGGGACCGGGCCTCAAGGGCTCTGACCCTCAAAACACTCTAGGTAGTGTTAGGTAAAAGGACACAAGTGCAACTATTGTGACATTTTATTGTGGCAACGTTTCGCTCTCCAGGAGCTTTATCAAGCCGTTGATGAAGCTCCTGGAGAGCGAAACGGTGCCACAATAAAATGTCACATTAGTTGTACTTGTGTACTTTTACCTAACATTGTTTGTAATTCTACCAACATTAATACACTCTAGGTAGGTAGGTAGACGTCTCGCCCTGATACATTTCACTTGTCACACTCTAACACGGGAGAAAATCTTTCATGTGGATATTTGTGATATACATATGATCAGTTTCGAGTGTTCGGGGTTAGTTTTTTTTTTTTCTGGTGCTCGCCTAGTCATAGGCTTTTACTGTTGGTGGCGCGCTGGCCCACATATTCATCACTGCCTGGTGGAAGTAGTGATCGAGCTTTCTCTTGATGACTTCTACACTTGTTCTGGCAGTGTTTCTGATAGCTTGTGGTAGTATGATGTAATTCTCAATCTTTATTTTACATCGTTGAATTTACGGTTAAGAACTGTTGTCCTACCCCAGTTTATTAAAAAAATCCCCAGGGTATACTGCCACCTCCCTGGAAGTGACCCATAACAATCGTCTAAGACCGGGCATCTACTTAATATTAGGTGAACAAGGGCAACGGGTGTTAGGAACATGTTTACGTCTCGATTCCCCCCAGGATCAGACCCGGCAAATTTTAGTTGCGAGTCGAAGGCTGAGATACGAGACAGCGCTAAAATTTTAATTTACATTTAAGCTCTATCAGTTGGGTGTTAACGGCCTGATACCCGGAGTTTACCTGGAGAGGGTTTCGGAGGTCAACGCCCCCGCGGCCCGGTCTGAGACCAGGCCTCATGGTGGATCAGGATCTGATCAACCAGGCTGTTACTGCTGGCCGCACGGAAGCTGACGTACGAACCACAGCTCTTGAGTATCTTCCACTTAAGGGAATCCCTTCATGAAAGGGAAGGGCTCTCGATCCAAGAAACTGGAGCAACCCTTTCTGTCTAGGACCAGTGTTATTATTATATTAATGAGGAACCCCTAAACCAGTAAGGGTCATACAGCACCTGGTGAATGGGATCTGAAAAAATAGGAGGGTAGCTCAAATTCCTCAGATCAAGGACTAAGGTTTATGGCGATTTAGGTTAGTCCATGGTTAACTAATGTCAAATGTCCTTGCAAGTATAATTCAGGACGTTGATCGTACCACTTGACGCGAGGAAGACCACTGTATATTACTATTGCCATCTGTGTAAATAACAACCTGTGTGATGAATGGTTTGAAAAACCGACAAGTTGAAGATTGAGACACTTATGCAGCATATGGGAATCTTTATTCAGGAAACGTTTCGCCACACAGTGGCTTCATCAGTCCAATACAAAGAGGAAGGCGTAAGGAGAGGAGGAGTATGAGGTAATCAGTCCCTCAGCCTTTAGTCGATGTGTTTAGTTCATCAATCTTGATGAACTAAACACATCGACTAAAGGCTGAGGGACTGATTACCTCATACTCCTCCTCTCCTTACGCCTTCCTCTTTGTATTGGACTGATGAAGCCACTGTGTGGCGAAACGTTTCCTGAATAAAGATTCCCATATGCTGCATAAGTGTCTCCATCTTCAAATAAAAACCTAAAAACTGAATATTAAACTCCGACCATCAGTTTATCAGTGCAGTTAAATATTATTGCAGTAAAATCAAATACCGTGTTTTTAATATTTATTTATATTTTTGTTGAACCTTTTAATTAACATTATTTTATACATATGAATTATATGATCACCTGCTATTAATATTATTTTTTTCTAATTTGATTTATAATTGTCTTTACACAGACCGGAACCAGAGAAGCATAGGACGGAGTTCGACATCTACCCTGACCTGGGAGTGCCACTACGGGTGAAGCTCCGTATGCAGATGAATGTTATGTTGGACCGTAGCCAAGCTCTTGAGCGAGCCCGCCACTTCGATGTAATACTTCCCATATTTTGGTTTGAAGTTGGAATTGATTCTCTGCCGGGAGAAGTAGTGGGTTTGCTCAAATTGGCTCAAAACTTACCTCCTGTGGTGAAAACAACAAGTGTTACTTTGTGCACGGCACTCACTCTCATCTTCCTGATATTGCTGTTGGCGCAGACGGTGGCTGCGTGGTGTGGCTGGGGTGCTGTAAGCTCCAAGAAGCGCCCTCTTACCCCGGATGATCTCCCGCACCACACTCACTTCCGTCCCACCCCTCCTATGTGGGAATACGACGAATTACACAAGCCTCCTAGACGAGGAGACTCGACCGCATCTTCAGGTAGCTACAAAGAATCTCTTCCTTCCACCCTAGCCCAGCCAGGTGTAGACATTCCTATTATTGATGACCACACCTTACTGCCACCCTACCGTCGTTGTCATAACCTAGATATTCCTGATGCGCCACGTCCAGACAGCGTAGGGGATGAGAGCATTGACACTGACCAAGTACCTCCTCCATATAGTCCTGGACCAGTACATCGTACACCCTCGACTGTCTCTGTTGAAATTCACATTACAGCCTCCGATGATGAACTCGCAGACTTACCTCATGATCCGCCAGTTAGGAAGGATATTCCTATAGAACAGTGTCCACCTTACTACGAATCTACAGCTCGCCTACCCCCAGTTGAAGATGAGGAACCAGAGAGAGTGACTCCCTCCACGCCTCCTCCTCTCCCAGGTGAAAATGTTGTAGCCCCATTGGCGCGAGTGGAGGACGATACTTTAGACATGCAGGGAAATCCTGGATCCTCCTGTCTCTCCTCATCACCCGAATATCCACCTAGATATACCAAATCATCAGCCCCTCTGGCCACATCAAGTCCTCAGGGGTCAGTTGATGCTAATAATAGTCGCAGTGATTTACCTCCACCTTTGGAATCAGACTTATGAGGTGACATCGGTTTTAATGAATATTTCATTAATTCTTCTTGCATTTTCCTTGTATTATAGACTTGAAAGGTTTTCAAGAAAAACTTGACGATTCTCTTTAACAGTATTGAAACTTACGTGATCGTTAAAAGTGCTCCAATTTCTGCATTAAGTTTACATTTTTGTTCTGTGATTTGATTGTTACAATAGCATCATTTGTAACCTCGTTTTTATGTTTTAAGGATTGCTGTAATCTGCTCAATCTCCAAGCTGTTATCAGTGACTTTGGGATACACACATCATTCCTACCCAACGGGTTCCCTTGTTGTGTAAACTGCAGTTACATGTTGCCTCTTGAGATTATGTAGAGCTCGAGTTTAGTTTTGAGATCTACATGTACCATGTGGATTAAAGAAACATAGAAAGAAACTGTACATTGGGCTTGCCATTGTGATTCAAACCATATCATATAATTTTTATTAATGGTTAAAAATATTAATCATGTTGATTTAAATTTATAAGTATTACTTAATGCTAGCAACCAGTTTAGTATCAATACAGCAGATGAAGTGATGAGTAACATGTAAACAGTTGTTTGACCTCTGAGATTAAAGGTTTCCACATCGTGTTATACATGTTTGTCTTATGAAGTTGATAAAGTTAACATGTGCATAATATAGGTCGAGCACTATATATCAGTTTAGAGTTAAAAAGTTTCAAATCTGCCTAATTTGTATGAAAATATTTCATAAATGACAAGGGGTATTGACCTCAAAAATGTTTAAATTATTACTGAGGCATTATTGTGCCGAATAAGACAAAAAACTTAAATATATCCTTCTCCTGAGACTGTTTCCAACCGCATGTTCCCATGTGCTATCTTAATATTTCTATGTTCAATGTATTTAATATTATTTATTAACGTAGGATATGCTAAGCTGAAATGTATGTGATGATTTTTTTTGTTCATATACGCAGTCATATGTTGCTTAAGTACCCAGTCATATGTCTTTCATTTTATTTTTAAACCTTCTAAGCATTTAGACGCTGACTTACCGCTAGCTTGCGCTTAGGCAAGTGATCACATGAATGTTATTTACGTTTCTAATTATATAGGTACGAATCACATGAATAATGCCAGATCAGTCAGGCTTTTAATGACTATGTAGGATTGCGGGCCAGTAGGAAAATCTGCCACAGGTCTGGCTGCAAGTCTAGAATAACAAACCGATCACAGCTATAGTGCCACATGATAAGCCTTAGCAGCATGTGTGTCACTGATCTGTTCTGTTACAGTATCGAACAAATTAACGTATGTTAAGGAAACTGGCGACAAATGAACTCAGACTAACATGGAAATGTAACCCTCTATTTGGCCTCAACGAAACGTCTTTCAGTAGAGTATCTTTTGGGTAAAGAGATAGTTTGCAGAACAAGTCTACTTTTGATGATGTTTCGCTCATTAATGAATTTTATGATTTGAAGCTCAACACCGAGAGAAACATCGGCAGAATAAAAACTTACTCTGCAAATTCTTTCACTTAACCATTTTACTTGGCACCATTCGCCAGTCAAATCAGAGGCTATTCTTCCTCTTCTGTGTGTGTGTATGTGTATGCTAGTTACCATTTTGAGATAGGCACCTGTCGATTACACACTTGGCCTCTGTGTATTCACCTGTTTGTGGTTACAGGGGTCGAGACTCAGCTCCTGGCCCCGCCTCTTCACTGACCGCTACTGGGTCCTCCCTCTCCCTGCTCCATGAGCTTTATCATACCTCGTCTTAAAACTATATATGGTTCATGCCTCCACTACATCACTTGCCAGACTATTCCACTTCCTAACAACTCTGTGGCTGAAGAAATACTTCCTAACATCCCTTTGACTCATCTGAGTCTTCAGTTTCCAATTGTGACCCCTTGTTTCTAGATATACCAAATCATCAGTGTGGTGTGTGTGTGTTTGTACTTGATATTGAGAGCCTGTTCAAATGTACTTTGCCTGCACTAATATAAAAACAAGCTCATAGCTCTCAGAGGGGTTACATTTTAATTAAGTGATTTTGTGTTTGGTTTGCATTATCAATCTGTAACCACAGTATTATATGTCCTTCAACTTGAATGACATTAGTGATTTATCTGTTATACTGTATCTACAGTATGTCCCTGCCATTGTTTTAGGTTCACATTAGCTTTTAATATTCCTGTGAAATCCGTACCACTATACTACAGTGGAATGCACTGTATTTGCAAATGTTTGAGTGCAGAATTTTATGGCATTACGTTAGCATGGTAGCGTCGTCATTTTATTTATTATTTTCTCCCATTGTAGTCACATTCTGTAAAGGGGTATTTATTATTATTATTGCTGTGTATGCCTGAGCTTTCTCAAGTGTTCTTGCTTGAAAATCTTTTATTTAGCATTGCTTCTTTTAATTTTTCTATTGTTTAATAAAATCAAGTGAGAATATGTTAATAAGACCTCAACGACGTATAGGCTGGACCGAACAGCTGTTCTCAACTTTTTAGTTTGCTCATTAGACAGAATTTGAAATCACATTCTCCTCGTGACCTACTTAGCACCCCAATAAATAAACATAGATTTATGGCATAATATTAAGAAAGTTTTGAAAAAAAAATAGACACAATCGCTCAATTTTTCTTGGGTCACGACTCTGCTTGTGAACTGCCGATAAAGAATCTTATTTTATAGAAGTATTGCTATAAAAGGTAGGGCTCTGGTCGATTTGTATATCTAATTTAAAATAGTATTTTTTATATTTTAAATTGTGGATTGTTTCAGCGAGACGTTATGTAAAATTGATTATCTGCTCTATACGTCATTTTATTTCCAAGTCGCCCATTAGCCATAGAAGATTTTTTTTTTTTTTTTTGTATTTAGAGAAAAGTTTTGTATTATTGACTCTTCACAAATTCGAACTGCTGCGAACCATACAGGAATATCTTCATCCCAGTAATTCCTTCTGAGGTGCCTTAATACCAGTGGACGGCTCTTGATCTTAGGAATTTTAGCTGTGCTCCCGTTCCTTGGATCGAATCTGATTGCCTCCCCATTCTCCTGACGCTGTATGACCTCCTTTGGGTTTAGCGCTTCTCAAAAATGCAATAATAATTCATTCTAGTACTAAGACAAGTTTTTTTTTTTTGCAACTTTGTTATAATAATTTTTTCTAGATTTTAACTGATAAGGCAAATTTTCTTGACCTGTAACAAAATTTTAACCAGGGAACAATTTTTTCGAACAATATAATATAAGGCCCTATCAGAAACATAACTGTCTTGATCAATATGATTTAACACTCATCCAGGGAACACTTAAGATTCTTCTACAACTTTTTTTTTTTTTAACTTTGACACCATATTCTAATTATATTTCTATTCACACTCTGAATTAGGAAAAAAATATACCATTGTCAAAACAAATCATCTTTAGAATAATGGTACGATATATTTTTGATAACTGTAACAAAGTGACTATGCAATTTTGTTCGCGCGAATAAAATACTTTTGCTATAATTATTGTTTTATTATCACGATGGATCATGCCCATTAAATTTTCCTTCTTTTTCTTCCCTATGTTGGATCACCTTACTGTGGTGGGTTTCATGTTGCCTTAAACTGCCTCACCTATGACTTCGATAGGTTAAGGCTCCAGTTCAATACGGACTAATGTAAGGTTCTAATCCTGGGAAAAGATAATAATTATGGCACTTAAGCTAGATAATGAAGAGCTTAGTAACACAGAATGCGAGAGTTCTGGTTAGCAGAAATTTCAAGTCAAGGCCCCTCAAGGAAGGTTCCTTGACCCTGGTGAGGGGCTCTTCATCTAGGGAATTGGATCTGTGCTCCGGTTCCCTGAATTGAGTCTGAATACCTTCCATCCCCCCCACACACGCTGTATAATCCTACGGGTTTAGCGCTCCTCCACGATTATAATAAAGTCAAGGTGCAGCGCTGTATAGATCATACACTACCTTCCTTGACTTGAAATCCGCTTTTGATGTAGCTAGCCGACATGTAATCATTAGTGAACTTGCCAGAATGGATGTTGGAGGATGGCTTCTCCGCTGGATTAAAGGCTACCTGTCCAACAGAAAGTCGTCTGTGTTGTTCCAGGGACGTAGAAGTGTAACTAAAGATTTTGAATTAGGAACCCCACAGGGAGGTGTGCTCAGTCCCACTCTATTCAATATTTTAATTAATGCCTTAATTAAACTTAATTAAACTGTCCAAGCAGATCTACGTTCACATGCGTAGTGCTCCAAAAGTAGATCTACGTTTTTTACATATTTTCAAATATAACAAAAAAAAGTAATCAAAGTTTTTTTACACGTTTTCAAATGTAAAAAAAAAAAGATCTACTTTTTTTACATACTTTCAAATGTTGAAAAAACGTAGATGTACATTTGGACAGTTTAAGGGTTAATGCTATGCCTAGCCAGCCCTATCATTATATGATTAGTTTTGCTGATATAATGATTCACACCACCGGATTCTCCAATACCCAAAACATTCTTAATCATGTACTAGCCTGGGGTTGATAATCTCTACTGATAAAACCAAGATACTCAACAGGCGTCCTCCTCGACAGAGAGGCACAGTTCGTCAGATCCAGTTGCATGATGGGTCTCTTCTAGAATATGTAAGCAGATACAGGTATCTAGGCCTTTGAGGTTCCACTACTTGGACCTGTTGTAACGAGACTTTGTCGCCAATACAAAGAAAGGCTGAGAGCACTTAGAGTTGTGGCAGGTTTTCATCCCAGGTATGGAGCTAATGTTAAAATTGTGAAAATGATGTATCTTGCTTATATTAGATCATTGGTTAATTATGCTGCGCCACTACTTGCACTCGTGTCTGACTGGAAGCTTGAAGGGCTGGAGCAGCGCTGTATAGCCCTTGTGGCTTAGCGCTTCTTTTTGATTATAATAATAATTGAAGGGCTGGAAAAACTGCAAAACGAAGCAATGAGGATCATCCTAGGAAGCCCTCGTACTGCCAAAATTTTAAATATGCGGAAAGAACTTAATATTCCAAGCATTAGAGATCGTGCTACTGAAAGAAATATCCTTATTGGGGTCAATATGCTTAGGTTAGCCCATTCAAACCCCTGCACAGAAGCCCTCCAAACTTTCCTCAGCACTGGTGAACATCCTTCCAGATGGATCGAAAAAACTGGAGCCGACCTCCGCATGAACCAGCTACATGATCTCTTTCAAGTTAGGCAACAGAGACACTTCCCTGCTCCATGGGATATTACCCCATTCCAAACTACCATTCCTCCATTTCCTCAAAAAACTCTTCTTAAATCGCAACCAAAGCTTCGTCTTGAAGCCTAACATGATGCCTTAAGCTGTATTGATAACTTAGTCACACAGAACGCTCTCACAAATTATTTACGTTGATGGTTCTGTTCACCAGTCCACTGGTGCAGCTGGTAGTGCTGCTCTTGTCATACAGAGTGATGGCTCTCAGTAAAGAAATTGGAGCACGCATCAATAACTGGGCCTCTACCCTTCAAACAGAACTGTTTGCCATACTTGCACTCAAATGCATCCATGTATCTAAGGCTGACACTTTAATTGTAACTGATTCTCTGTCATCCATAAATGCTCTCAACTCATTAAGTATAATATTGTAACCACGGGCTAGAATGAAATTAGCCTAGAATCATCCACACCATCGTGTGTCCTTGGGTAGCGAGTACAACATCCAGTTCCGCTACTTTTAAGGATCGTATGGTCCAGTGGATAAGGGCGTCATGTGTTTTCGCCCACCATGAGGCAGGCCAAATCAGCATGGGTTCGAGTCCTTGGCTTGTGCAGTGCTGTTATTCATTAAATATAAATTGTGGCATGCTTGTGTCAGAAGCCAGACACAGGTATGGTAAGATTGTGGACAGTGGAGTCAGAGTGCACATGCCGTGGATTCCATCTCACATTGGTCTTCAGATGCATGATAGAACTGATGAATTGGCTAAGCTGTATGCTTTCAAAGAGGGAGTAGATTAAACCATACCCCGGCCGGGATTGAACCCGCGGTCAGAGTCAAAACTCCAGCCCGTCGTGTCATTACGATTTCGTGATCAAGGAGTAGATTACAATCTTGGGTTGTCAGTTAGCAGTTTGAGAACAATAATACGAAAAGAACTTCAAATGAACTTTATTGACTTAAGACTTAGGGAGATTGACACAAGTCAGTCCATCTATCATCATTCCATCATGCAGGAGGAGCCACATGTCTATGGTGCATCCAACAAGATAAGCAGACTCTTGGATGTCACTACCGCCCGGCTCCGGCTGGGTTATAAGTATCTTTGGCAGGTTAAATCACCACCACCAGATGTAGACCAAACGAAATGTAAACTTTGCCTGATGGACTATTGTCACACCTTGCGTCATTATGTACTGAAGTGCGATAAAATTAATGAATTTAGAGACAACTCACTCAGAAATATTCATAAGAACATAAGAAAGGAGGAACACTGCAGCAGGCCTGCTGGCCCATACTAGGCAGGTCCTTTACAATTCATCCCACTAACAAACATTTGACCAACCCAATTTTCAATGCCACCCAAGAAACAAGCTCCGATGTGCAAGTCCCTCTCAAATCCAACCCCTCCCACTCATGTACTTATCCAACCTAAATTTGAAACTACCCAAAGTCCTAGCATCAATAACCCAACTAGGGTTATTGAGGCTAGGAAATGGCAAAGTATTTTATCCACAGTGGTATATTACAGACTGTGGCATGCAAAGAGTACGTAACCTTCATTCGGCGCATGTACACACCCTCACTGAAAGGCTATCTCCCCCAACCAGCGAACCAGGTGCTAAGGGTTAACGATGGGGCCCCATCGTTCAATCAGTACCCAGGTTCCAGCAATCGCAGAGGCGTTGTGGGTACCACACACCTGTCTGCCCTTGTCATTCCCATTCTAGAGCTGGTTGAAGCACGGTCTGCTCTCTAGTGGCTTCTATTCTGCCTTGCTTACCGTGGAGTGCATAATACCTATTGTTGTACATAGTGTATATAGTGTACATACTTCTGTTCTAAACTGGTAAAGGATAATACAAGTCAAGTTTTTCTGTTGTGTTTATTTTGCTCCCTTTACACCCAGGATAACAGGCCTTTGGGACTCCTCCAGACCATTCTGGAGAAATACCCTGATTTTGCTAGCTGTAAATAAAGCATTACCACGTGTGTATATATATATATATATATATATATATATATATATATATATATATATATATATATATATATATATATATATATATATATATATATATATATATATGTATATGTTTGTACGCTCGTGTGCATGTGTCTGTGCGTGCGCCCTCGTGTGTATGTGCGTGCGCGCGCACTCGTGTGGGTTTATGACCCACTTAATATTTGTAATTTATAACTCATTACAATTGTGACCGGGTGTGGACGTGTCACTGGCTCATTACTTTGCAATTAACCATGTATATGAGTGAGGATGATTCATTACCTCTGTAACTTGCCATGATTGTGACCAGATCTACCTGGAGTTCATTACATTTGTAACTAGTTCAGCTATCATAACTTTGGGGTCCAGTCACTGGACCCATTATGTACCTCTCTAATCTTTTGACTACCACCCACAGGATGGGTATGGGCGTGCATAATAAACATATTAAACTAAAAAAAAACAGCGCTGTATGGCCATTGTGGGTTTACCGCTTAGCTATGATTATAACAATTAAGTCAACACAACAGAGCATAAATACTCACAATAAAGCTAATAGGATTCTTAGTCTCATATCAAGAAGCATAAATAACAGAAGTCAAAATTATATGACTCACGAAATCGTAATGACACGATTGCAAAAAAACCATACCACGGGTGGGGATAGAACCCGCGATCAGAGAGTTTGGTATGGTTTGTCAACATTATATATCAGTCATGAGGCATCATTTCTTCTCGTCTCTATAATACAGACTGAATAGAAATGAGCCTGACAACAGAGAAGGATATTGCTAATGTTTTAACACTGGAACTGGAGTCCTGCAGCAAATGGTTAGTAGACAACAAACTATCATTACACCTAGGGAAAACTGAAGCCATTCTCTTTGGCACGAAACATAAACTGAGAAGGGTAAATAATTTTAATGTTCAATGTAATGGGGAGCCCATCACTTTGGTTTCATCAGTACAATATTTGGGAATCCCCTTTGACCCATGCATGTCAGGAGAATTGATAGGGAACAGTGTAGTAAAGAAAGCGAATGCCAGACTGAAGTTCCTGTATAGACAAGCACAGTGTCTACCTACTGAGGCTCGCAGGACCCTATGTCTAGCCCTTATACAATGCCATATGGATTACGCTTGCTCTTCTTGGTACTCTGCCTTGACAAAAAAACTGAAAGATAGACTGCAAATCACCCAGAACAAAATCGTAAGATTCATCCTGGGGCTGGGACCAAGAGAACATGTAGGCCAGGATGAATTACAGCAGTTGGATATGCTGAATGTTGAAGACAGAGTA